AATGTCAGCAAATCTTTGAGATATTTGCATTTTCAGTAATATATGATAGAGGTATACTGAGACGTCTCACCTATTTTTAGTATAAGGATACATTACGTTTCAGTAACACTGAAGATGTGAAGTGTACAGTTAACTTTCTATCACTGAATTTGGTTATCTGTAGTCAACTTTTTTTTTTTTCAATGTTTGCTGGAAGGAAAAAAAAAATCTTACCTGAAATTCATCACCACAGTATCTTTGTCTACCCAAACTCAATCAAGAGTTTAAAGTTTCTGCCACTCCCATCTTCCTCAAGATGTCCCTCAGATTTAAATTTACAAGACATTCTTCAGGGCTTGCACTGTGGCATAGTGGGTTGAGCTGGCTGCTCCACTTCTGCTCCAGCTCCCTGCTAAGATGCCTGGAAAGTGCTAGAGGATGGCCCAAGCAAGTGGGACTCTGTACCCACGTTGGGGATCTGTTGTAACAGTTGGGGGCGTGGGCCAGCAGATGGAAGACCTCTCTATATCTCTTAAAAAACAATTCTTCAGGTTGCATTCTATAGCAGACCAAGGGCACATGGAGAGAAGAGGATAAGCACTTTCAAGCTTTTTCAAGTTTCCTCTCCACCTTTTGCTTGATGTGCTTCACCTTCTGAGGTAATATAATGTACTCATACATGAACTCATACCCAAAGCAAACATCTGCTGTGAGCTGATCACGATTTTGAATTATCCGACGTATCCACGGAACTATGTAAAACTAAGTTAAAGTAATGTGTTTAAGAACTGTTTCTATTATGTAATACTAGTGCAACAAAATGATGCAATATATGGAGAACTAATTCAAATATCCTAAAGCTTTCAAAGAACACTTTCATAAGACAGAGCCAACAAATTTTTGGATACCAAACCAAATCCAGGTACACTGCCCTCCTGCTTATAATTTAATTTAACCAAACATTATAATAAAATTCAGAATAAAAAAACTAAAATACAAACTTTTAAAAAATTAGTTATTAGTCATATTTTTGAAACTACTTTCTAGAATTTTCCTTTCAATGTCAGTGACTAGTATACTAGTAGACTGGTGCTCTAATGTTGTAAGGTAAATGTTAAAAAATCACTATTAAAAATTATAGAATTTTAAATAGAGCATAAAAATTAAAAAGTAACAATTAAACTAAAATGACCAAAAATCAAATATTTAGTTTAATGCAATTACTGAAATTGCCAATGCAGTTTTTCATTTTCTAGGCATTTTTAGGGATCAACTTAGCTAAGCACAAAGGACAAAAACCACACCTGTTTAAACAACCAATTCTGTGCACAATCATTTTTTAAGGTATGTGAATATGGAATCACCAACTCAAATGCCTACTACTGGACCCATGGAGGGACTACAGTGCATCACACCAGTGCATAACAACTCGGCACAGAGTCCGCTAATTTGTGGTTATAAAAACTACCAATAAATAGGAAACGATCTTAAAAACACACAATTCTTATTTATTTATACCATCATCTATGGTAGCATAGCAATAAATGTCAGGGAAGTTGCTTCATACTAAGTGTATTTGTCAAGAAGGGGTCTTAAGGCCCCACAAAAGGTGCGAGTTCAAGCTAGAACAATTTTTGCTTGAAAATATATTTTGGACATCCTGGTAATACAGTAGATATAGGTAACACAAACAAACATTTTTTAAAATTTTTTATTGTTTTCAACACCAAAGTAACCCAAAATTCACATTTACAATGAACTTTTAAATAAAAATATACTGTATACATATTAGAGATACATATTATACAAACGTATTTGAAAAGAGTTCTTACAGACACTTACATAGTAAAGAGAATGAACTGAGTTGCTGTCATCTTTAATACTCTGTCTCCCCTAAAGGACCAACTGGAGAATGTTACCTTTTGCTTATGAGCCACCACCTATTCTAGCTATTTTGGCTTGTGAGGTAGTAAGAACAGATTTCTTTAAAATCAAGTAGTGAGCTCTTATTGCACAAGTATTCTATAAGTAATTTTATATTTTCAGATTATCAGTATTAATAAAAGAATCAAAATCTCTAAAATACAGAAGTTGAGTTCTCTCTAAATTCAACAAAGGCCAGCTCAGCCCACCTCCAGAAACTGGCAGTCATTACTCCCAAACTCACACCCATACGTAAGTCTGATGATACTGAAAAATCTTTAAACCAAACCATCTTTACGGCATCCCACTGCCTCTTCCCAATATAACCAGGCCTCACTACCAAATTTTTAGAAATGTGAATGTGTATATGACCTTTGTTACTTTAAAAATACTGCCATATTTCAGAAATTAAGATCCAAGAACTCACGTCTCAAGATACATTTACTTTCCTTTATAAGAAAACTACTGGATATTATTAATGGGAATATAGATACAATGAAACAGCACCTTGACTAACACACACGTATTTTCAATAAGCCAGTGGATGGATCTTTAACATGTATGAACTTACGATTTGGTCTAATCTACCCTGAAAACATCTGGTGCAAGTATGTCAAGACACCTTTCCTGGTAAGTTTGCTTCCTGTCTGCCAACAAATACTGTTTAAAATGAATCCCAGCTACAGTAATACGGCTTTAAAATTGTGAGGCATAGGCAGTCTTCTCTTAGTTCTAAGGATAACCCAGGACATTTCTTACCTGAAATGGGCACCCACTGTTCACTTAGCGCCTACCCTGGGGCAGGCTTTGTGTCTGGTGTTTTATGTGTTGCCCACTGAGTCACCACGACACCCTGGTGTGTCAGCCTCATTTTTATTCCCCTTCACAGCTGAGGAAACCGAAGTTTCTTATCAACTTCTAGACTTAATGGTTACTCTAAGAGTACCTCTTATTATCATAAAAAAAACATGAGTGTGCCAGCAGGACATCAAGCAGTGCAGCGCTAGAACCCGTCGAGTAGGAGACAGCAACAAAACCCCTGCATTACTACTGACCCTTCACCACTGCACAGCCACCACCATACTCCCTCATCAAATGGGTGGGACTGTGGTCAGTGGTGGATAAATCCACTTTTATCTGCATATACATTTAAAAAAACTAATCTCTTTTAAAAGGGTCAAAATTTATGTAGTAAGTCTTTTCACGGTTTTTAAATGAAGGCAAACAGAAGGCTTTCATATGTTTGGAATTAAACTGCATTTTAGTTAAAGCATTTATTTTAATCAGTTTTCAGTTTTATCTTATATCAAACTTTACTTTTTGGATTTGTGATAACTTTAGGTTTCAGAATTTTATTTTAATAGTCATACAAAAAGATAATCATCAGAGGTAGAGTGTAAACAGTCCCACACTGAGAACTGCCCATCTGCTCTCTTAACACATCTTGCACATGTCCCTTATAGAACTTCCATCTATTCTGCTTGCTTTTATTTCAGAGCTCTGATCCCTATCTGTTCTTACTCATTCTTTGCCTGTCTAGCACAATGCTGTCTCTAACCTATTTTTCAAGCTTAATAATTTTTTACCTGTGTTTTGTTTTGTTTCAGATGTTTGAAGCAGAGGTTAAATTTTATGATCAGTAGTAAGAAACAAAAGACAGGGTCTTCTTATTAAACTCTGAGAATCATGAAATCTTCACTCAATGAATTTAGTAAGCCAGAGAAATAGTACAAATGCATGCAACTTTGTAAATAGTCCTTAGACTAGCAACTTTCAACTGAAAGTGAAATCATAATCAGGGGGATGTGGGGTAGAAAGGATGTGGAGGAAATGCATTGATCACAAAATTCTACCTGATTCAGATTCTGATTCTGGTAAAACAATCTTATTATCAATATTAAAAAAAAAAAAGGGCATGACAAAGATGCTAGTGCTTGCAGCTCATAGCCCATTTCGTCCTACTAAAACACAGACCTTGTAAAGAATTTGTTCATTAATCAAGTTATTTTCCATCTTACAAATACTGTGTATTACTTTTGACAAATTTTAAGCTCAAGCTACTTTTACCACTGCCCAATCTGTGCATTAAGGAAAACAGTTTATTATCAGACTAATTTCAGTCTTAGGGCAGCAATACAGTATGCCATTTCAAATTTAATTTTTATTATAAATATGGTACATGCACAAAATAAAAAAATTTCCAACATTACTGAAAGTATAGGTGAAAAGTAAATACTCCCTATTACAAAGCAACACCCATCCCACAGTCCAACATCTCAGAATAACTAATAGATTCTTTTCTCAAAAATCCCAAAATTAAGAAAGCAAATATGTATTCACACACACACCTTGAAGACACAATAGGCTCAAAGAATTAGAATGTTACAATTTTTAGGAAGTATTAATTCTCCATTAGGAGAATCAAGTGTTAATTACTACAATCTCAAATATAACGACTGATTAAGTAAAAGATCGTCTACTGTAGTATCCGATGTACTTTAAGTAAGGGAAAGCCTTCTTAAAAGGTGTAAACAACCTAACCTACACTTCCCTTCCTGGCAGCAGTGAGTACGGGGAAACAGTGTAACAGAGAAAGCCCAGCAGGAGAAACCTGAAGGACCAGGGCAAATTGGCTTCTCAGGCTTGCAACTGTCACTTAGAAAACAAAGCCATTTACTGCAAAGCATCAAAGATGACTTCTCTGCCAGCCCAGGGTTATCAGATGGGAAAAAACCAGTCCAGACAGAGAGAAAAACCAAAAAACCCCAACCAACTTAACACAGTCAGAGAGATATCTCTTTTAAAGCTGGCAAGAATCAGGGGTTACATTAATCATGGATTCTATAGCACTTCCTTTGCATAGATATCCAGCATTATTCTGTATCAAATTAAAAATGTAAATCCAAGTTTCTATTCAAAGCAAACATATTTTCATCTTTGAGGCTGTATCGTGGTAAAGACCAAGTGTACATATTTAAGATATTCCTCAAAGAAAAATATTGGCCTTGGAAAACATTTTACCAAAATTTGCACTGCTTTTAAAACACCTAACTGGGAGGTAGGGAGGAACAAAAATGATAAAAACAGAATTAACTTACCCAGAAGTGAAACAGGCTGAGTGACAGGAGGGGTAGGCAGATTCGTGGGTGCAGCAGGTGGCACAGCAGAGCCATACATTTTCGCACTGTCACCAGACTCGGCGTTTCCTCTAGCCCCAGACACCACTGTTGGAATGGGATTTCCAATAGATAAGTCTTTTGTAGTGTCTTCATTTATACCAGCGATAGTAGCTAAGGAATATAATTACATCAACATGTGAAGCTGAATAATTACTTATGCCCCCGTCAACATTCTTCTGCCATACTACAGACCCTACTCCTGGTTCGTGGAGTTCCCTCCTACCCCCAGCTCAAGAGGACCAGTGAACACAAAGGAAGAACATGCTTACAGTTTGGGATGCTTATTGGTGGAGTGTGAGGAGGAGGAATGGATACTGGCGGAGTTATAGGAGGTGGGGGTCCAGGAGGAAGAAAACCTAGAATAAGAAAATAATGTCAACCGTTTGCTTTATCTCTACACTTCAGGCTCTAAAAGAATGTTTTCTCAAACAACTTAGTGTACCTGGTGGCAAATGCATTGGATTGAATCCTGGGCGCAAAAATGGTGGAGGAGGAGGGGGCGGAGGAACACCAGGACCAAAACCTGGAGGGGGAATTCCCAAAGGAGGTGTGAATGTGGGAGGTTGGAGAGCACCAACTACAGGAGGACCAGGCTGATGCGGTGGGACCTACAAAGTGAAGAAGAAAAAAAAATGAAGCCACTTATCTATCCACCCTCCCCCCATCCATATAGTGAGGAGAGAGGAAGAAAGTATCTTCTTACTGAAAAAACAGATGCTTCTAAATTTGTGTTTGTTACACCTATAATAGTAAACTTGTACCTGCTTCAAATGATAGAAATCAAAGTTCTGCTACCAAATTTGCATTGTGTCTCAGAGTTGTGTCAGAATTCACGGGTGTTCTGAAAGCACAATATACTTTAAAACATTCCACCCTCTACTCAAATAACTTTGGAAAACACATCTATAAGAATGGCTACTTGACAATCTATGTTAGAGGCCAGGACCACAGGTTCTACAGCCCTATTGTCTGTCCCTTCCTCAGCTACCTGTGTGACCTTGAGCAAGCAATTTAAACTGGAAAATGGTGCCAACCTCACATGACGATGGGGATTTAAATGTTAATACATGCTAAATGCTAGTGCCTGACACATACACTTAACAAATTCCCCCAAAATGTTAGCTATTGTTTTACAAAGAAAAAAGAGATTTGAAAGGATTATTCAGGCTACTTTAAATGAATATTCCTTGGAACCTGCACTGGAAAGGCATATCCAGAAGGTCAACTAAAGAGTTTGCCAATTTGGGGAGTTTATTTTAAAAATACCACAGCTAAGCAGGTACCAAACCATATCATTTTCCACTGGAGAAAAATCAAGAGATCAGGCAACTCAGTGTTATGACAGTTCAGATTTGTTTACGATTCCTTTTAAATCTGAGGCAGACACAAAGAAAGGGAAGAGGGAAGGAGAGGGGAAGAGAGCGGAGAGGAGAGGAAGAGAGAGGACCTTTAATCCCTTGTTCACTCTCCAAATGCCCACACATGACTAGTCTGGGGCTGGAGCCAAGAGTGCAATTCAGACCTCCCATGGGCAGCAGGAATCCAATTACTTGAGCTATCACTGCAGCCTCCCAGGGTCTGCACTGGTGGGAAGCTGAAGTCAAGAACCAGAGGCAGGAACTGAACCCAGGCATTCTGATTTGGGATGTAGGCACCTTAACTGCTAGGTTAAACATTTGCTCCCCGATAAAAATTTGAGTACCTGAGTAAGTAAGGTAGTGAAAGAAAATTCTAGTACAACACACACAAAACTGTAATATGGGACAGTTATTTCTAATTTTCACCAAAAGGTTCTTCATTATTCAGCAGGAAACATGTTGAGCACACTATCCTCATTTTACCCACAAAACAACTCTGATACGGGATAAACACTAAAGCCAATAAAATAAAAGCAAAGGGAATTTACACACTTACAGATAGGACACACCCAAAACCAAACTGTTGAGCAAAAATAATGGGAGTTGGGAATCAAACCCAAATCTACCAGAATCTGGACTTTTCCCCCTTTAAGGAACTGGTTGGTTGACCTGACAGCAAAGACTTCATATAAATACACCTTTACGTTACATGGTCTTCTAAATTAGTTTTCAATCATCCATTAAACATTTCATGATGGTACCACTTGAAATAAAGATTAAGAAACTCCCTTTCCCTCAAAAAAGTAGCTGTCGCTGAGGTGGGGGTGCAGGGGAGGGAAGTAACCCCTCTCTTTCTAAATTCACATCTCATACCTAGGACATCAGGAGGTAATACATGGAATAAAACAGTAATATATTCCAGTTTTACTAACATTTATGAAAAGAACTGTTTAAGAGTTTATAAGTAATAGACTGGATATCAAAATATGAAAAGCTTGTATGGGCGTTCATGTGCTCATGTTGACTACTAATCTAAGTGTACATCAACAGTAAGATTTATAAAGGGATCTTTCACTTAAATTTAAATATCCTCACCTGTGGAGGTGGTACAGTGATAGGTGCAGGAACAGGCATAGGAGGAACAGGCACAGGTAAAGGTTTAGGTATGGGTGACACTGGTTCTGTGTGTGATGCTTCTGCACCTCCATTTTGAGCAACTTCATTTTCAGGCTTCTTGGGAATTCCTTTCCAATCTATTAAGAATTAACGAAATGTGACAATAAGAGTTTACCATTTTTAGTTTACAACTTTAAATCCAAAAATGAAAAATGCTTATTTCACATATTAAATAAATTCCTATGCTAATGTTATAATTAGCAATTATTTAATGATTAACACTATAAGACACATAAAAGAAAATTTACTTTGTGTCAGGCACTGCCTTAACCACCTGTACACAGTAACTTAATCAATTCTCTTAATGACCTCTAAGTAGGCAGCATTAATATTCCCACTTCATAAATGAGGAAAGCAAAGACAATGTGGCAAAGGTCACTTTCCTAGTAAGTGGCAGGGATGCATTCAACCCATCTTTACAGCCTACGTTCTCTACCACAAGTATGTCTTATTTGGATTTAAGTTTTTTTGAGAAATCTTCCATCTGTTGGCTCACTCCCCAAATGTCCGCAACGGCCAGAGCTGGGTCAGACTGAGACCAGCAGCTTCTTTCATGTCTCCCATGTGGGTGCAGAGGTCCAAGTACCTGAGCCATCTTCTGATGCTTTCCCAGGTATATTAGCAAGGAGAGGGATGGGAAGTGGAGCAGCTGGGACTCAAACCAGCACCCAAATGGGATGCTGGTGTCACAGGCAGCAGTTTAACCTGCTATGCCACATTGCTGGTCGCTGGATTCCGGTATTTTTAAAAAGATACCTAACATTTCCTGAATAACCTTTCCCTAATATTAAAGAATAACATATAAACTTCAATCTATTTTCACATTATCATCTATTCAAGTGAAAACAGAATGTCTGACCTGTCCTCTGGGGCTGCTTTCCATCAGATTCTCCTCTATAAACTTCTATAAACCCTCCACTGCACCACAAGGTCCATGATTTCATTGTCTTATTTATTAACCTGGTCTATAGCCTCTCAGATGACTGGCATACAGAAGGCCCTTGATACCTGTTTGCTGGAACAGAACCCTGGCTCTATCATTAAGCGAAGGCTTTACGGAGGGAGGAGGTAGGATGTGGGAATAGTATGACATTGTTTTACCTCCTTTTGGCTCCCAAACCACCAACTGCTGCTTAAAGTTTCCTTTATTTTCATCTATTTTTCTATGCCACCCTATACTCTTCCTTATTCCTGCTATCAACTCTCCAGGTCCTTCCTGTACAATCTGATGCCATTTCTCAAACTGCAATCTGTCAATCTAACATTTTTAATATCCATGCCCACAAATAACTGCACCTCCTCATCTTACACAGCTTTTTATGATTGCTTCTCTGGACACTGAAAATTTGTGAAAGAAATTATTACTAAGTGCTGGATTTAAAACATGATACCAATGACTTTAAGACTGATTGGATCTGCTTAGTTTTCTCAGGGAGTCCAGATCAGCCCTACTTAATTCTGAAATGAATAGTTAAGCACATAATCAGTAATCATTTCACCTGTGTTTGCATCTCTTCCTATAGATTTAAATTGCATAAGGTCAAAGACAGCTTTTAACTTACTCTATTTTTTCCATTATTTTAAAATGGAGAGACTTTCTTAATGCAAAGAATAAATAAGACATTTGATTTGTTACATGCATTACACTTAGCAAATAAATAAGTTGCAACAGAAATGGTAACAGTGTTTTACCTGGGTTAAGTGTGTCATTGTCCAGCATTCCTCCTTCACAAAATCCCTCCAATTCCTCGGGCTTGACTTTGTCCCATGGAATATATGTAACACCAAGTTCTACATCCCAATACTGCTTATAATCTGCCTTTATTCCTTTGTTCAAGGCCCAGGCAATCTATTTCATCATTTATGAAAATATAAAACAAAAGAGAGAAGTTTTTAAGACTTGAGATTTCATTATTCTCGATGATTCTTCTCCAACTTTGGCAACAGGTAACAATCTAAGCCAGATTTATACTGGAATCTCACTCAAAGTCTTATTTTCACTATGGAACTGGTTCCCTTTCAGTCCCATTTGGACCCTGGATGAAAATTTCACTGACATCTGCTCCTTAACAACTCCCTCACCTCTACCTATCCTAAAATCAGGTAGCATAAAATTCAGAGAAAAGGAAGAAATTTATCAGTGAAAGGCTAGTTTCTTCTATAGCCCCATATTCTGAGGACTACTGCTCAAGGTCTGTGGGTATCTCAACATTAGACAAAATCCTTCTGCAGTGTAATCAAGAGCAGAATGGGGCATTAAGGACACTGAGGAAGCACAGACTTTGGTTCCTAATGAGAATACCACCCATGATACCTCTACCTTTGCCCTCTTTCTGGTAACTATTTTTCAGTTAATTCTAAGATTAGCGGCAAACTTTAAAAATAAAATGAGGAACAGCCAAGTATTTTTTATTTTTAAGATACTACTAAATGACATAATATTTAAAGCACTGATAACTATGCTTGAGGAACCCATGCACATAAAAAAAAATCCTATGTTAACTGACATTTAAAATTTCATGTTAATTAAACATAATAATTCTTGTAGGGCAGTTGTGAGAAACATCATTTGCGGGCCATGCAAAATTTATCAACTTAAAATTTAGCCTGCTGCAGATTTACTAAATTTTAAGTCTTGCCTGTAGAAGCCTTGGCAGGGCCAGACCAAGAGATTTTGTTTGTCTTAAAGGGTCAAGTCGACATAAAAAAAAAAAAAAAAAAAAAAAAAAAAAAACCACCTATTTCTAAGCCTCAAATTATACTTTTTAAAAATAAATACAATAGTTTCAAATATTTTAAAAAATTAGCAGTAAGGTCTATAAAACCATACCTTTATGGATTTCTGGTTCACTTTATAGTTTCCTCGGCTCAGCTTCTGCAGCGCACGATAAGCATCTTGCCTATGAACCATTACGATATAGGCACAACCTCTGGGAGGAATCATCTGCTCCAAAAAATTTAGCATTACGAAAGATAACAAAATCAAAGAGCAATAAGACATAATACTAAGTGACTTGTGTGAATACCATCCTACCCCCTGCTGCTCCAAAAGCTAAGGTTAAAAAATTGTTATAATTGGGCAATTCAATTTTGGTTTCAACTGACAGTTGAGTCTTCCAAACTAGGTTATGTAAAGATATTCCTACAAAAGGGTTTTAATTAAAACTTGGTTATCCAAGAAAAGTTAAATGCAGAAAATACTGAACATGGACTCAGAATACCTGACGTCTAGCCACATCTTCTATTAAGCTGCATAAACTGCTACTTGAATCTCAAGTGAGATGACATATATCGCATCTATCCAGTTATGGAATACTCACGTTAATGGATTCAATTGGACCAAACTCTTCTAAGAGACTGGCAACATCCTGCTGAGTAGTCCTTTTGTCCAGCTGTCCTACCCAGAGTGTAGTACTGCAAACTTAAAATAAATTGTAATCATAAAATTGTTCACATTTGACAATGAGCAACAGAGTACCTGAAAAAATTTCTTACACAAGATATGCATGAGTTAAATTATGACTCAAAATATTTGACAGCAAATCCCATACACATTTGAAAATTCTAAAACATTCAGAAATGGAACAAGGATAGTGAAAGCTAGAAGCCAGAGAAGCAGTAACTTGTCCATGGTTACCCTGCCAGTGAACAGCAGAACTAGGCTGTGGACCCAAATCTCTCGTTTACCAACATTTCACTGCTTTCTTCACTACATGCAATTGTCCTTTTCTAACTCATGAGTTTGTAGCTTTTCTCTTATGCAGATGCACCTAAGTAACAGGCCTTAAAAGAGTTACAAATTTTACACATGCCTTAATATGAGGGGACTTCACAAAGTCTGTGGGAAAATGGAATTAAAGATAAAAATCAGGTACAGGCATTAGTATAGTGGTTAAGACATTGCTTGGGATACCTGCACCCGTCTGTGATTGCTTGGGTTTGAATCCTAGCTCCATTCCCCATTTTAGCTTCCTGTTAACATGTGCTCTGAGAGGGAGCAGGTGCTGGCTCAAGTAGTTGGTTCCATGCCACCCATGTGGGAAACCTGGACTGGGTCCCTGGCTCCTAGCTTTGGCCTGGCCTGGCTTTGGCCTGGCCCAACCCTGGCTGTTGTTCGCATCTGGGAAGTGAAATGGAAAATAGGAGATCTATTTCTGCCTTTCAAATAAAAATATATTAAAAAAATGAACAAGTTGAATTTTAAAAGAAGACAAATTAAAAATATAAACTTTCTCAACATGAAGTTTATCAAAGTCCAAGACACTTTTGTAAGTGACAGTACCAGCCATTCAGTGTATTCCTAATGAATGGATGATCCTGGGAATTCAATCATGTTAATGCATGATTTTTTTTTTTTACACTGATGAAAAATGAGTGCCCTTAAAGACTTAAACAAAATTTTTTTCTAGATTATGTATCTGAAAGTCAGTTATTTACAGAGAGGGAGAGACAGAGGAATTTTCTCTCTGCTGGTTCACTCCTCAAATGGCCACAGCAGCAGGGCTGGGTCAGGGCCAGGCTGAAGTCAAGAGCCAGGAGTTTCTTCTTTTTTAAAGATTTAAGTATTTATCTGAAAGGCAGATTTACAGAGAGAGAGAGATCTTCCATCTCTTGGTTCACTCCCCAAATGGCTGCAATGGTCAGAACTAGGCTGATCCAAACCAGGGGACAGGAGCTTCTTCCAGGTTCCCCATGTTAGTACAGGGGCCCAAGGACTTGGGCCATCTTCTGCTGCTTTCCCAGGTACATCAGCACAGAACTGGATTGAAAATGGAGCAGCCAGGACTCAAATCATAGCCCATACGGATGTTGGCACCACAGACAATGGCTTTACTCACTACACCACAGTGATGGTTCCTAAAGACTTTTAAAGATTAGGAAAAGGGGCTGGTGCCATGGCATAGTGAGTTAAGCTGCCTCCTGCAATGTTGGCATACCATATGGGCACTGGTTTATGTCCTGGTTGTTCCATTTCTGATCCAGCTCCTTGCTAATGCACCTGGGAAAGCAGCAGAAGATGGCCTAAGTGCTCTGGGTCCCTGTCACCAAGATGGAGACCCAGATGGAGTTCCTGGCTCCTGGCTTCAGCCTAGCCCAACGCTGGCGGTTTGTAGTCATTTGGGGAGTGAACCAACAGATGTAAACTCTGACTTGCCATCTCTGCAATTCTGCATTTCAAACAAATATGAAAAAAATAAAAAATAAAAAAAAGAGGTGGATACTGAGCCAGGACCATTGCCATTGTAGAGGATAACTCTTTGGGGAAGCTTTCCCGGATATTTTTCTGTGAAGGCACTAGGTAAATTTCTGAAAATACTCTCATAATCGAGCATGTATTATTTTTCTTTGGCTCTTCAGAAAGCCAACAAGCAAAACATGTGGACACTCTTCCCAAATAACTATCATGACATCTGTTCCTGACAGGTCGTCTTTTGCTTTGACAAGACCACTTCCACTTCTTGGTAGCTACTGATTGTAAAGCCATGTTTCATATGCTGCTACAATTCTTCAAAGAAATGTTTCAGGATCTTGACCCCACTTAATCAAAATTTCCACTCCAAGATCTGCTCTTGTCCACAACTGATCTTCCCAAGATAGTTTTGGCATCCATTGAGCAGAGGCTCGTTCCACTCTAATTTTGCAGTCACAGTTGCATAAGCTGAACCAACTGAGATGTCTACAGTGTCGGCTCATGTTTCTGATGTTAATGGTCAATCTTCAATTAGCACACAAACAATATTTATGTTTTCCTTGCAAACTGATGTCATAGCTGAAATGAATTATATATTTGGAAATGGCCAATTTATTTGGGGGCCTTGACCCTATAAACTTGGAAAAATATCAATGATTTCACTTTTCTTTCACCGAAGTTTTACAACATAAACCTGATGTCTGTTCTTCAATTTTAGCAGAATTCATGTTGCTCTGATTGGAATTATTTTCAAATTGATGTCTTAATGCCTCTCTCTAACTAGATCCCTATTCAGATATGTTACAGTAAGTTTATTCTGATGCAAAAACAAACAAAAAAAACCAAAAAACAAAAAAACCAAAAAACTGAAATCCATGCATAGTTTTTTCATAGCATAGACTTCCATGAACTTTTTGAGGACTCCTCATATCACGAAATTTTTAACAGAAGCACATTGCACTAAGTATATTCTGAAAACATTCAGCAAGATTCAGGAGATACTGCAAGCTAGTATATTCTGCAAATGGTAAATTGCTCAGTAATAATGATCTTGGACAACCTATCCATTGTATAAAGCAGAGCTAGGTTTTAGTATACAAAAGTAAGACAAGCTATCACTCATTACTGTTGGTTCAGTCCTCTCCTTATGCCTGCTTTATTTATAGCTGGCCTTTACACCTCTCACCCCTCAAAAACAAACTCATACATGAATGCATCAACAAGTAAGACTCAATAAAGCAGTATTTAGAATAAAAATCAACAGACACAATACTTCATTTATGGCTTTTCTAACAGTTATAAGCAGAAAGTTTGACTATCAAGGTTTATTTACCACTGGCAGTTTCTGCTTTGATCTGAGGAAGGCCCTTTTGTCTTCGCTCCCTCTCCTTCTCTCGATCCCGTCTCTCCTGGGACCGAGAGCGGGGAGAATGCCGGCGTCTGTCCCTGGAGCGAGATCGAGAACGTCGATGACGAGACCTCCGAGATCTAGACCCAGATCTAGATCGCCTCCTTTTTGGTGACCTGACATTTTCATGAGGACAGAGAACAGATAACACATGGAGATAAAGTAGAAAATATAAGCATATAAATTAGTATGAAAAAATACAGGTAAGTAACATTGTTTACATAAGACATGAATAGCTGGAAATTAATCCTAAAAGATTTTTTAAAAATGTATGAGTTAGAAAGCATTATAGAATATAGATGAAATAAGTAACACTGCCAATTTATAAAAGCATCTCTTGTTTTTGTCTTTAGTATCCCTGGTACTACTCTAAATTATGCCCTTGCAGTTTAAGATGCTAATTTCCATCACTGAGGTATCTTTCTGGTTTTAGCCTAGTCCCACCTCCGCCATTTGTGAGCATCTGAGGAAAGAACCTGTAGACGGCAGATATCTTCATCTCTCCTCTGTCATTCTGCTTTCAAATACATAAATCTTTAATGAAACCAAAAAACTCAACCTCAGTCTCCATGTGCAAGGCAGGGACCCAACTACATCATCTGCTTCCTTTCATACATAAACAACTGAAAAGCATGATCCACAGCAGCACTGCTCTGCTTCCACTTTGGTTAGTTGTAAAGAAACTTTGAATATATAATTCTAACACTATGTATGTAACTCAAATGAAAGGAAAAAATGTGGTTTAGAAGGACTAACCTTGGATTCGTTATATAGTAACACTTCAAATATTTGAAAAGAATACCATTTGATTTAATTCTCCATGTTTTTAAGACATACAGGATTGGAAAAACATTTTCTATAAATTACCTGGATGCTGACCTAGATCTTGATTTTCGGTTATCAGGCACATGCCGTTTAACTTCTTGAATACAAGGCTGTTCTACTTCCATTTCCTGAAATAAAACAAAAACAAGCATGAAATGAGGAATGTGGAAAAGAGAAAAAAAAAAAAAAAAAAAAAAAACCAACACACCACCTCTTGCCTTTTGATATTATACCTAGGACCAAATAACTAGTTTAGTAACATCCTGGCCATTATTGAAAAAAAATTTTTTAATACAGCTCAGAGGATTAGAAGAAATCTCTGGATATCCAGTAAATTGCATATAATTCTAATAAATCAACACCTAACATGGGGAATTGGCACTGGTTAAGCCTTCTATACACATCACTATCCTTTCAGAACTCTATGGACTTTGGTAGTAGTACATCTATTTACTAGGTAAAAAGTTGGAGCACAGAAAAAGTCCAAGGACTTTCTTCCTATTAAAAAAATGAAATGAAAACAGAAAGCAAATAAACAGGAATCTGCATGTAAGTCAAGGAAACCATAATGATCATCAATATCAGAATGAAATCTTACTTGCTGATGTGGCTTCTGCGTATGTGGTTCACTTTGTGCCTGAAAAGTAGGTTGGAAAGGCTGCTGCACTGGTGGAGGTGGAGTAATCACAGGCTGAGCCATGGGAGGAAATGCTGTAGGAAGAAGTCCATACGCTGGCATCTGTCCATTAGGAGGAAGTGGAACCTTTCGTTTAAAAAAAAAAAAAAAAGTATATGAGCAGATTTTAAGTAGCAGCTACCAATAATCTGGAAAAATTCAAGTTTATGTAAAACTAAAATATCTTCAATAAACTCTAATCAAGGAAAAACTACAATGATATTCAACATTCCTTGAAAAGTTTTAGAAGTACAATCTTTGTCCAAAGAACCATTACAAGCCCTAGTATATGGTTAAAAATTATAGAATTTCCAAATTATTTATAGGTTTTATTTTATATACTTAAAAGATAGTTTCATTTACATAAGAATGCAGTGTGACAGGCTGAACTTAGAACTACAATTGCAAATGGTCTGTTTTCACTAGGTTTCAAGTAAAATATCAATGAAAGCAAATTATAACCTAACATTTCTGCATGTACAATTCAAACATCAAAACAAAGAAAACTGTAATTACAATGTTACAAACTATTCTTTCTAAATTACTATTAAACTTTCAGTAATTGTCTGGAAACATCTTAATAGGTTTTCTTTATATTTTAAAGAGGCTCATAAAATAACTATTAAAACTTCATTCAACAAGAAAATAAAATCATCTTATCACATTACCAACTCTACAGAACTAATCAAATACAATATGAATAAAAAATGAACATACTTAAAGAGCTTTCTCAGTAAGTTAAGGCTACACTAGAGTATTTCCCATGGGTTGTTGTAAAAGACAATTACTGCAGTAGCACTGTAGTGCTACTTGGCTGATCATACAGCTACGTAATAGTGATCTGTGAAGTGTAAACCGTGTGTTCTAATGAACAGATCGACTCAGTTACAGGGCCAGCGCTGTGGCAAAGTGGGTAAAGCCGCCGCCTACAGTAGCAGCATCCCATATGGGTACTGGTTTGAGTCCTGGCTGCTCCACTTCCGATCCAGCTCTCTGCTATGGCCTGGGAAACCAGTAGAAGATGGCCCAAGTCCTTAGGACCCTGCACCTACTTGAGAGACCAAGAGGAAGGTACTGGCTCTTGGCTTCGGACTGGTGCAGCTCTGGCCATTGTGGAAATCTGGGGAGTGAACCAGCAGATGCAAGACCTCTCTGCCTCTCTATGTAACTTTTTCAAATAAATAAATAAATCTAACAAAACAAAACAAAAACCAAAACTGAGTCACAACAAAAATGCCTGTACCTGATGGTGCATCGGATCCTGTTGCATTCCCATCATTCGAGGTTGAAACTGTTCCATATTTTGATGTTGCGTGTATGCTGGCTGCTGCATGGCATCTCCAGGAAATCCGCTGAAAATGTGAATAATCATAAAATGTATACTATAGACGTACAATGAATGTTATTCAGGCATCATAAGTAATCAACATTTTGCCGAATCATGCATTTGCCAATAATTAATTCATATACTCAGTATTATCTCAAATGCAAAAGTCACTTTTTATTCTGACAGGATCCTCTTCCCATTCAGAAGAAAGATTATTAACACCACCGTCATACAAAACAGTGACTCCACTGAAAATTTTAAATGTTAACTTAAGTTACTTAAGTTCCTATCTGTCCAGGAATTTAAAAAAGAAAAAAATCTGAAACCCACAAGGGTGTCTGAGGAGGAGGAGAGGTGGCAGCAGGCGCTGTGGCAGCAGGGGCTGTGGTGGCAGGCGCAGCAGGTGCAACGGCAGCAGGTGCAACGGCAGCAGGGGCTGCAGTGGTGGCAGCAACAGCTTCCTCTTTCTTTGATTCTTCCACAGCCTCTGGCTCATCATCATAATCAAATCTATCAAGCAGCTTCTGGAATAGGGACGTCAATATTTCATTTTATAATTCCGACTGTGATTCACTGCATAGAAAATGCTAAACAACAGATGTTTACCATCATCTATAACCCACCACGCTGTTGCATACAATCTTATTTTTCTACATGACTCTGAGAACCTTGGTTCACAAATAAATTTCACAAAAATGCCATTTTAGGAAAGATATAAAAATGCACCATTTTTGACTTATTTTCCACTTATTTCATAATTAACTAATACTTTCTTCTAATATTCATCTACCTAGAGTATAAACTCTGTGTGCATGAAAATGGGTGTCAATGGGTGTGTACATTTTCAGCCATCTATAAAATGTACAAAAAAAGGACTGCTTTATTCAATCACTATGAGTGCATAAAGAAAAATATCCATATATAACTGCTCAAGAATATACTAATAAGGGGCTGGTGCTGCGGTATAGTAGGTAAAGCCGCCGTCTGCACTGCTAGAATCCTATATGGGCACAGGTTCGAGTCCTGGCTGCTCCACTTCCAATCCAGCTCTCTGCTATGGCCTGGAAAAGCAATGGAGGATGGCCCAGGTCCTTGGGTCCCTGCACCAGTGTGGGAGACCTGGAGGAAGCTCCAGGCTTTGGATCAGCACAGCTCCGGCCATTGTGGCCATCCGGGGAGTGGACCAATGGATGGAAGACCGCTCTCTCTCTCTGCTTCTCTGTAACTCTGCCTTTCAAATAAAATAATAAATAAATCTTTAAAAAAAAATACTAATATAGGACCAGGGCACAAAGGAATTTCATGCCCATTAACACTAGCTTCTTTATTAAAACTTTACTGCTAAACTCGGATGACTAGAAACTTTAACTTAAAAATGAAAATCAGGACATTTATTTTTGGAAAAAATTTAATTATTTATATGAAAGACAACGAAGGTGAGACAGAGATGTTTCATTCACTGGTTCACTCGCCAAGTGGTTACAACAGCCAGGACTGGTCCAGGGCAGAGCCAGACCTCCACCTTAGTCTCCCACATGGGTGTAGGGTACTAAGCACTTGGGCCATCCTGTGCTGTCTTCCCAGGCACATTATCAGGAAGCTGGATTAAAGTGGAATAGCATTCTGATATAGGCTGCCAGTGTTGCAAGGGGCAGCTTAATCTACCATGCTCCAACACCAGCCCCTTTAGTTGCTTTTTTTGAGGTAACTGAAAATCTGTAAAGCAGCTGAAGTAGAAAAATTATCATCAGCAATTAGCTTAAAAGAGACCATTTTAGTCAAAAGAATAACAGATTCCGCTCCACCCCAAAGCTGGTATAACTAACAAATACTGGTCAATCCTTTAAGATGAAATACTAAAGGAACTGTAATTCAAATTAACAAGCTAAAAATGCCTACTATCATGGCTTCTACTCAATTTTTCTCTGGAAGTCTTAGCCACCAGTAAAGAAAAACAAATAAGCCCAGATTTTGAAGACAAAAATTCAAATTTAATAGCTACCTAGAAAATTCAAGAGAATCAACATTAATATCTGAAAGATAAAATCAAAATTAATAGTCTTTTTGTATGGCATCATAAGCCACATGAAAAGTACTATGAAACACTAACTAACAGAACATGGGTCTGGTCTAGCAGTTAAGCCCCTAGTCAAGATGCCTGTACCCCATATTGAAGTGGCTGGGTTCAATGCCTGCCTCCAACTCCTAATTCCTGCTTCCTGCTAATGCAGACTCTGGGACAGAGTGGTGATGACTCTTGAAATCGAGTTCCTGCCACAAATGTGGAAGATAAAATGAATTCCTATTTCTCAGCTTTGGCAGTTGGCTGCTCTACTGTCAACATATGGAGAATGAACCAGTAGATAGGAGGTCTTTCTCAAATAAATTAAAAATAAAAACAAAAACAACAAACAGGGTGGACATTTGGCACAGCAGTTAAAATGTCACTTGGGATGCCTGCAACCTGGAATGGACTGCCTGGTTCTAGTCCAGCTTCCTGCTAATGTGCACCTGGGAGTAGTATATGATAGCCTACATCCCACACATCCCTCCCACACCCACAGAGACCCAGATAAGGAGTTACTGGTTTCTGGCTTTGGCCTGGCCTAACCCTGGCTCTTACAGGCACTTGAGAGGTGACCCATCAGATAGGAAATCTCTGTGGGTCTGTTTTTCAAAGAAAATGAAAATAAAAATGTAAAACAAAAACTAGAAATCTAAGCATGAAAGATGAAATGTATATGACACACATAAAGGAAATTATAAAAATATAGCCTGTATGTGAGGCTATCAGTGCTTCCCAAATTAAACTTCAAATTCAAATTCATGGGGCCGGTGCCATGGCACAGTTGGTTAATCCTCCACCTGTGGCGCCGGCATCCCATATGGGCACTAGTTCTAGTCCCGGCTGCTCCTCTTCCAATCCACTTTCTGCTGTGATCTGGGAAAGCAGTAGAGGATGGCCCAGGTGCTTGGGCCCCTGCACCCACATGGGAGACCAGGAAGAACCACCTGGCTCCCAGCTTTGGATCAGCACGGATCTGACTGTTGCGGCCATTTGAGGAGTGAACAAACAGAGGGAAGACCTTTCTGTCTCTCCCTCTCTCTGTCTGTAACTCTACCTCTCAAATAAGTAAAAATAAAAAATCTTAAAAAAAAGTAATTTTAACATTTATGCTAAAGTTCACCTGAAAAAAGCGTGTTACAATGGCTAATTTTTTCTGTCAACTTGGCTAGGTTACACAAGGGTTTGTAAAAAGTTCATGGAAAAATGTAGAGATTTATCTTCCACCAGCTGGTTCACTCCCCAAATGGGTACAACAGCCAGGAGACAGGAACTCCAGCCAGGTTTCTCATGTGGATGGCAGGAAACTCAAGTATCTGAGCCATCACCCATGGAGTCCCCTATGCAGTATTATTATTATTATTATTATTATTTTTTACAGGCAGAGTTGACAGTGAGAGAGAGAGAGAGAGACAGAGAGAAAGGTCTTCCTTTGCCGTTGGTTCACCCTCCAATGGCCGCCGCGGCTGATCCGAAGCCAGGAGCCAGGTGCTTTTCCTGGTCTCCGATGGGGTGCAGGGCCCAAGCACTTGGGCCATCCTCCACTGCACTCCCGGGCCACAGCAGAGAGCTGGCCTGGAAGAGGGGCAACCGGGACAGAATCCGGCGCCCCGACCAGGACTAGAACCCGGTGTGCCGGCGCCACTAGGCGGAGGATTAGCCTAGTGAGCCGTGGCGCCGGCCCCCTATGCATTATCAAGGAGCTAGATTGGAAGTAGCACAGCCAGTACTTGAACCAGCACTCCAATAAAGGATGCAGGTGTCTGAAGTGATGGCTTAACCTGCTGCACCACAATGCCTGTTCCACATCCTTCATATGACAGTTATTTGGCAAAATACTAATCTAGATGTTGCTGTGAATGTAATTTTTAGATGACATTAACATTTAAATCAGCAGAATCTACATAAAGCAGATTACCCGTCATTACAGGAGGGCCTCAACCAATCAGCTGAAGGCCTTGAGAACAAGAACTTAGGTTTTCCACAGAAGCATCTCTCAAGACTACAAAACATGGAAATCATGCCTGAGTTTCCAGTCAGCTGCCCTGTGGAACTGAGACTTAGGCCTATAATGTTAACTCTTACCTGAATTTCCAGCCTGCTGACCTGTCCTATTAACGTCAGTTTACCAGAACTGACAACTACGAGTCAATTCCTTAAGAACAAAAAACCTCTCTTACCTTCTTTCCTCCTGACTATCCATCTCCATCCTTTCATTCTTTACATAGATATAAACAATGGTTGCTTCCCTGGATACCCCTCTCTCAATGTAAATATTGGTTCCCTTTCCCTGGCATCTCTTACTAATGGACTGACTACCTACCTCCCTTTAGATATAAATACTGGTCCTGTTTCCTTGGAGATCCCTGACTAATGCATATGATCAAGAAAAAGCCAAACAGAGTATAAAAAAGAGCAAGTGGGAGGGATATCTGGAAATGCAAGATAGTATTTAAGGGTTTCAACTGGTATGATGCATAAATAAATATGTAAGTAGAACAGAACAACTTCCAGATAGACATAAACACACGGAATCTGGTATACGAAAAAGTAGCATGGAAGAGCTGGCTATAAAGTACTAAAATTTAACTATCTTGAACCATATTCTAAGAGTCCAGAGGTACTAAACAAACAAACAAAAATATGAAGCTACAAGAAGAAAATATGGTTCTTTTTAAATACAGTGAGAGTTCTTCTAATTATGGCACAGAACAAAAGACTAATAAATCTATATATCCAAGAATTTATTTTCACATGTGTAAGGAAATAGGTGTAGAAGAACATATTTAAACAAATCTGTTCAAAGCAGTTTACAATTATTTTTTATTTTATATCTTTCTGTACTTTTGTTTTATATCCTCTACAAGCATGCATTCCCTTTTTATGCAACAAATTAATCTTTAATAAATAGTTTTCATAAATCACTGATATAATGAAAACTAGTATTTTGGGACCACTGGTAATAAGGTTCTTCTATCTTAGAATGTTAGAAAGAATCAAATTTTAAGATGATGAATGAAATGAAAGATACAGTTCTATGAATTTCCTACTTCTATATATTTTTGCAGTAAAACTTGAAAAATGAACTTCATATAATCATAAAATTCCAGAAGCAGAAAGAACATAAAATCAACAAGAGTGTAGCTGTTTGGATTAAAATCTTAATGGGAAGATGATCTGGGCTGTGCATGCTCATGCTTACCCATTTCCTTAATGGCAGTTTCATGAACGAAAAAGAATCAGAAGACCCTACACATTAGCTGAAACATACCGAACCAACCCGATACAGAAATGTTTTCTAACAGCAAAAAACTGGAAACAACTTGAATGTTTATCAGCAGGGGAATGAGATTTAAACCGTATCGTGTCCAGGTAATGGAATACCATTAACATGCATTCAGTGACAATGCAGATCTAAATCCATTAACTTCAATAACAAAAAGAGACAAGAGTATTAAGATCTAAACAAGCAAGTACAGATTATGACCAATTGAAGAAAAGCATATATCCTAAGAAATCTGAAAAGACATAAAGCAAAATGTTAGCAGTAATCTCCAAGTATGGGAATTAACAGAGTTTCCTTGTTTATTTTCTTCACTCTGAGAAATAGCAGAAATGAGCATGTTTTACATTTCCAACTAGAAAAAATAATCAATGCTTTGATGTCAAGGGGTGGGGGAGAGCCCTCAAATCACAAACAACAAAATGAACAGTCCACAAAGAAGCTTATAGAAGGGCTAACTCCCACAATCCAAGTTGCCTGATATAAACAGTGGGGTGGGTTATGTGAGAGAAGCGTACCTTGTCAAATGCAGTTTTTTGTTCAGGTGGGGGGAAAGCAGCTTTTTGTTCAGGTGGTTGTGTAGGAGCTGTCTTTAACTGAGCTGTGATAGCCTGAACCTGAGCCATCACAGCATTGTCAAGGGCGGGAGACTGTGGTTTTGGAGGTTGTTGAAAAGTCTGAAGGATCTGCTGAAGCTTAAAGAACGGGAAAACTGATAAACCACACAACAAAGTATAATCATAGTATCAAAAGTTAATTTACTAAAAAAAACCTTAAAGGTGACTCAAATCGCATAGGTACAGAGTAAACCTGGGAAAAAACATCAACTTTTTATTAATGGTTAAGTCTGTTGTGAATGAATACATTAGAGATACAAGCTGCACAGCACAACTTTAAAAACGCATCTTGACAACCCCAGTGATATAAAATGATGGTCAAAGAGAAGAGAAAACACACTGAATTGTGAACAAAGTAAGTATGTTTTCTAGAAAACAAAAAAAACCTTTCTACTCGAAACGACTCTGAAATCAATCAGAAATACTAGAATTATGAACAACAACATTGGCCACTTTGTAGTTCTGAAATTCTTTTCAAAGGAGTATTGCTATTTCTAAGCATGTTATTCCCTTGTTTTTTACTTTCTCATTTTCACTATTATCTTTGTCACTGTCTCCCTAGTGAAAGATTTTCTAGTTGAAAAGTAGACATTTTCTACCTTGAATGTGCTCATCCATGAGAAATGGAAAACCAGAACTGACAACTGTTCCTAGCCTTTTTAACAACTTAACCTTTGAGTAGGTGCTTTACCTGTTGACCTTGAGTTGTCTGAAACAGTTGAGCCACAGCAGCAAAAGCATCAGAGCTGGGCAACTGTGGGACAGTTGGTAAGGAGTTTGGAGTGGCTTGTGGGGTTTCAGAAGAAACTTTTACTGGAGGTGGAGGTGAGCCTAAAAAAGAGAAGGGCATTAACGCCCAAGAAAATGTTAATCTACAAATTTCTCATTTTAAAACCCCATTAAGTGTCTTTGTTAAGTAAAATTTCACCCAATTTAACAAAATAAAGTATATAATATGTATAGTGTGTGGTCCTGGAGTATATTATATCAAGTACCAGAAGGGAATGTTTTTATTAGAAACACAATTATAGAAAGAAAATCATAGCATCCAAGATGAAAACTCAAGTTTCCTTCTTAATGGGAAAATTCCACCAATATAGACTCCAAAATCTTTCATGTACCAATAATTGTATCATCTAAGCTCACAGATACATGTGATTATACCTTCATTATTGGTAACATTTTCTGCTACTGGGGCGGCATTACTGGTTCCTGCTGCCATGTCCAAAAGTGGTTGAATAATTTCAATTTTGAACACTCCATTTTTTTGCCAAAGGTTCAGCACACGGACTATTTTACTCTATTGTGTGAGAGAAAACACAAAAACATTAGTAAATAAATACTGCATATTTCCTCTGTTATACTTCTTACCAAAAAAGGAAACATATATATCAGAATTATATCCCATTTAAATTACTGATTAAACTTTCTTTGGCAGTATAATCTAGACTAAGAAACACATACAGACCTAGAGAATAAAAAGAAATACATTATTGTATTTATGGTTACAAAAAAACTCCCTCACTGATTAAAAACAAACAAACAAACAAGAAAAAGTTATCTTGGGGCTGGCATTGTGGCGTAGTAGGTTAAGCCACCACCTGCAGTGCAGGCATCTCATAAGTGCCCATTCGAGTTCCAGATGTTTCACTTCGGATCCAGTTCCCGGCTAATAAGCCTGGGAAAGCAGAAGATGGTTCAAGTTGGGCCCCTGAACCCATGAAGGAAACCTGGAAGAAGCTCTTGGCTCCTGGCTTTAAGATCTGTCCAGCTCTGGCCTTTGCAGCTATTTGTGGAATGAACCAGCAGATGGCAGATCTGTGTCTCTGTCTTTCCTTCTTTCTTTCTATAACTCTGCCTTTCAAGTAAATATATCTTTAAAATATACACAAACATAAACAAAACAAGTTATCTTCAAGAATTAAAAGAAGAAAAATGTGATGAATATAACAATTAAGATACATTCTGAGTATGCGTGCCAGTGTGATTCTCCTGCCAGCTGCTATAGCTGTCGTGTTTTTCTACCTCTCTATAGCAAACTGTCAAACCAGCTACATGTGTACTGAAGAATTACATGCTGTGACCTAACTGGCAATGAACACCATTTAATCCTCACAATAAATCCCTGGCCCCTTTCCAGAAGAAGCAACAATCTGAGATCAGTACTGACTTTCTATTCTGCAGAATGTCCTTGTTAATTACACAAGTGCCTCTTTTCAACTGTTTTCTTCCTTAAAGCCAAGATGATGCTCCTTTCGTATATTTAATATTTTTTTTTGTTTTTTTTTTTTTTTTTTGACAGGCAGAGTTAGTGAGAGAGAGACAGAGAGAAAGGTCTTTGCCGTTGGCTCACCCCCCAATGGCCGCTGTGGCCGGCACACTGCGCCGATCCGAAGCCAGGAGCCAGGTGCTTTTCCTGGTCTCCCATGAGGGTGCAGAGCACAAGCGCTTGGGCCATCCTCCACTGCACTCCCGGGCCACAGAAGAGAGCTGGCCTGGAAGAGGAGCAACCGGGACAGAATCCGGCACCCCGACCGGGACCAGAACCCGGTGTGCCAGCACCGCAGGCAGAGGATTAGCCTATTGAGCCGGCCTCGTATGTTTAATTTTTAAAAATTTTGTGGTAAGAACATTCAACACAAGATCAACATTCCTGCCTTGTTGTTCTTGCTTAACTAAAACTTTATTCCCATTGATTACCAAGTTCCCAGTTTCCCTTCCTAACAGCTCCTGGCAACTACAACTCCACTCTTTGATTTTATACGTTTGGTTCCTTTCCTGTCTCAACAGTACAACATCCTTGAAGGACAACATAAGAAAATAAATAAATATGAAATGACTGCTACAAAAAAATCTGGGTTTTGTTTCAAACTCATGGAGCTTAGTACATGAAGACGTTTCTAGAAATGAAGTAGGTTTAAAAACAAAAAACTGGGGCTGGCGCTGTCGCATAGCAGGAAAGGCCACCACCTGCGGTGCTGGCATCCCATATGGGCACCGGTTCGAGTTCCGGCTGCTCCACTTCCAATCCAGCTCTCTGCTGTGGCTTGGGAAAGCAGTGGAAAATGGCCCAAGTCCTTGGGCTCCTGCAACAGCAAGGGAGACCCGGAGGAAGCTCGAGGCTCAAGGCTCTGGATCAGCCCAGCTCCAGCCGTTGCAGCCAACTGAGGAGTGAATTGGCAGATGGGGGACCTCCCTCTCCTCCTTCTCTCTGTGTAACACTAACTTTCAAATAAACAAATAAATCTTAAAAAACAAAAACAAAAACAACCCTAAGAATACAAGATTTAATTAAACATTATAAACCATACCTTATCCTCAGATGGACAAAGATACAAATATTGGAATGTGGCGGTTATGTTTTTAGAGAATCTTGGCCCAAAAACATCTTTATCAGTTCCAAACTGATGACGAGACTGTCGCACAATTGAGTCAATTACATATAATCCTGGAACTTTGTACTCTGGTTTACACTGCAAAGATAAAGATACAAAGTCAATATAAAAAAAGTAAAATCACAATTTGACACCTATTAATCTCACATGTATACACTTTATGTATTAATCCAGAGACTATTTAGAAACTACTGAAGTATTTCAGTTATCTAGTTGGGTAACCTGCTAAATACCCCACAGGTCTACACACTCTATCATCCTCTTGATAGATACTCTAGACCCCCCAACATTTACTTTTCTGATCCCTCTTTATACAACATTATCAACTTAACATACAATATTATCAACCCCTAAGCTACTTTCATACAAAATCACTTATAACAGTCTCTATTCCAATTTATCCTGCTCAAAAAGACAATTTTTACCTTTAAAACTTATTTTAACATCACATCAAGAAAATAATGGATAGCAGAGGCCTAAGCACTTGGGCCATCTTCTGCTGTTTTCCTAGGCACATTAGCAAGGAGCTAGATTGGAAGTGGAGCAGGGAAACTTGAAGAGGCACTTGCAGGAGATGGTGATCACATGAGATACTGTCACCCCAGGTGGCAGCTTAACTTGCTGTGCCACAACGCTGGCCCCAGGAAATAAAAATCAAAAGGGGGATGAGCGTCACATGCAGCAGGTTAAGCTACTACTTAGGGTGCCAGAATCCATTCTCAGAGCACTGGCTGGTCCTTGCTGCTCTGCTTCCATCCAGCTCCCTACTAATGTTCCTGGGAAAGTAGCAGCAGAAGGCCCAAGTGCTTGGGCTCTGCCTCGTACATGGCAGATGGAGCTCCAGGCTCCTCGTTTCAGCCAATGGCCCAGCTTGGGATGCTGCGACCATTTGGGGATTGAGCCAGGGGAAGATCCGTCTTTCCTCTCTGTCACTCTGCTTTACAAATAAATAAAAACTCAAAATAAAATAAATAAAAGGAAAGGTCATTCTAGGCCCATCATATACAGTGGTATGGAGGTAATTTAAATTGTGTTTTCCATTTTACTTATTTGTACCTTGATTTTCTTCTATTGACATTTGTTTTTTGCTGGAGCTCTAACTTGTATCCCCAAGTCAGTGTGCAAAGGCCATGGATTAGAGATGTCTCCACAATATTTATCAGAATGTGCTGCATGGCACAACTCTTTTTCAGGGACCAAGCTCTCTAAGTCTCCATTCTCAGCCCTCTACTAAGACCTACATGAGCTACTCAGTTATAGAACAACATACTAAGAACTGAACAATGGCCTAATTCTGATGGAAGCAGTGTTACTTCCCAAAGCAACTTCATATAAAATTGTCAAAGGTGAGTTAAATGTCAACAAAGTAGATGGGACAAAGGGTAGAGCAGGCATGTAAGGCTCAGAGAAATGTCTTGCCCAATAGAAAGAGAAGTTGTGAGGCATGTTATGTGGTGTGCCAAGCTCCAAGTAAGCACTCCATCAATGGTATTGCTAAAAATTTGTGTTTAAATTTCCAGTGATTAAAATGAACCTTTAGTGACTAATTTTTTATAGAGTGGCCTTTAGAAGCAAGTAACCAAATTACAACTTACAAAGTAAATTAGAAATACTCATAAACAGTTAATCATGAAATAGTTACCTTTTTGATGAACTTTTCTACTATTTGAACTACATGCTTATAAAGCTGAAAAGAATGAAAAAACAGTTACTTCCCAGCATACACATGTCTACAGTTGCTATAATCAGAAAATACTCAAAGCCTTGAAATTTGTAGTCTGAATAATTATCAGTGTTGAATGAACCATGAGAAACAATTTATAATCAACAGTTAAATATTTTAAGTAACAAATCTGATTTATCTACAATAGAAAACCACAAAACTTGCTTCAAATACAAGGTCCTTGGATTTTTTAATTAATGAACTTTCATAAAGCAAGATATTAGGCAATGTTACAGAATGGCCAAGAACAATGGAATTGGAACTAAGCAATGCAGTTTCTATTGTTCTTGGCCCTTCTGTAACATTTAATTCCATGGAGCCTGAATTTTTTTTCTTCTTATATAAATGAAACCAATACTCTACTACAAGAATTAAACAAAGTAGAGGAAAAAAATGTAAAACAACAGCACAGTGCAAATGCATAGTATTATCACTGGGATGCCAGGAGAAGCTGGTTAGTACTCTAATTCAGGTATGAACTAACTTACAAGATTAATTCTCAAGTTTAACAACATTTTCAAAATTTCAAAAACATTCAAATATATATTTATTTTATTCTTACCTTAATAGCTTTAATAGCAGCTTTAGTGATAAGAATCATCTTGGCTCTAGAGATGGGAGGTTTCATGTCCATAAGTGAGAAGAGCTTAAAAAACAAAAAACAAAAAAGACTTGAACTAAAAGTTTAACAATCTGCACAAGCTTTTCTACATACCTGCATCACCACTTAGAAAACTGGAAAAATCATATTACTGAAAATATAGCAAAGAAAAGTCATGAACCTAGAATAAAAACATATGTAAAACTGTTAACTGTAAGAAAAGATAAAATCTTGCCCAAAAACTCACAAATAATTCAGGTTCTTGGCTTCCCGTCTGACCCAGACCCAGCCATTCTTTCTCTGTCTCCCTGCCTCTCTCTCTGTAACTCTGCCTTTCAAGTAAATAGATCTTAAAAAAGAAGACTTGAGAAGAGGGAACCAAGATTTGAGTGCCTACTATGTCCAGGCAGCAGTGAGTTAAATGGTACACTGTATTATTTTATCTAATCATTCATGCAGATTAAGGTATCTGATTAAGGTATCTGCTTTGAGATGATATTCAAAAACATTTAAATATTTTAGCTGATGTCCAAGAATGATCTGAAATAAAAAGCTGTGGTTCTAAAGCTCACACTAACAGCACTCATACAATGCTGCTCAATTGATCAAATTTGTGAAGAGACCATGGACATGAAGAAAGGCCCAGAGTAGAACTAAAAGGTGGTAGAATCAAAGCCATGAGGACAGGTGAAAAGGAGCTTGTAGGAGGAGCACCAGGAACGTACAAGTATATTACCTAGTATATACCAAAGATGCCAATGCAGCAAAGAAGGGGCCACATAAATAAACAAAAAATAGGACAAAGTGGAATCCTAGAAATTAAAAGCACTTGGCAGTGTCATAAGAGGATAATTAGTATATAACCCAAACCTTATTTATTCAGTTTGGTAATTTGGTGGCTGCAAATAACAGTTTTTAAAAAATGATTCTGAATTCTAGTTGGTTAAGGAAATAGCAAGTAGGGAAGCGGAAATGCATTTTTGACTTATTTTTTCATTCATTCAACAAGTAAGAGACCTTCATAACTGGCAAGCTCAATGTCTGATCCATAGACAGAGCCATGTTTCAAAGCTTTATAGCTGACTATCCTTGTGTCCTTTACCTGTTACCATTACAAAGCTCCCACAATATTTAGGTTTCTTTTGAGATGCTCTCTGTTGTTCTTTATCAACACTTGTAAAAAACTACCTTTTTGGTGGCCAGCGCCATGGTGCAGTAGGTTAATCTTCCGCCTATGGCGCCGGCATCCCATATGGGCGCCGGTTCTAGTCCTGGCTGCTCCTCTTCCAATCCAGCTCTCTGCTATGGCCTGGGAAAGCAGTGGAGGATGGCCCAGATCCTTGGGCCCTTGCACCCATGTGGGAGACATGGGTTAAGAGGCACCTAGCTCCTGGCTTCGGATCGGCGCAGCTCCAGCTATTGCAGCCATCTGGGGAGTGAACCAACGGAAGGAAGACCTTTCTCTCCGTCTCTCCCTCTCACTGTCTGCAACTCTACCTCTCAAATAAATAAATAAAAATCTTAAAAAAAAAAACCAAAACCCTACCTTTTAAAGTTCAATGAAAGTTACTTTTTAGATTTATTTGCAAGGCAGACACACAAAGAAGAAAAGGAGGGAGAGGGAGAGAGATCTTCCATCCACTATGCACTACCCAAATGGCAGCCAATCAAAGCCAGAAGCCAGGAACTCCATCCTGATCTCTCACATGGGTGGCAGGGGCCCAAGTATTTGGGCCGTCCTCTGCTGCCTTCCCAGGTGCATCAGCAGGAAACTGGATCAGAAGTGGAGAAACTGGGACTTGAACTGCCACTCTGATACAGGATGCTGGCACTGCAAGCAGTGGCTTAACCCATTGTGCCACAGACTGGCCCTCAAAGTTACTAGTATTATATTTTTTTAAGATTTATTTATACAGAAAGGTCTTCCATCCGCTGGTTCACTCCCCAGTTGGCCGCAATGGCCAGAGCTGCGTTCACCTGAAGCCAGGAGCTTCTTCCAGGTCTCCCACATGGGTGCAGGGCCCACAGACCTGGGCCATTTTCCACTGCTTTCCCAGGCCATAGCAGAGAGCTGGACTGGAAGTGGAGCAGCCGGGACTGAATCCGGCACCCATATGGGATGCCAGTATTGCAGGAGGTGGCTTCATCTGCTAATGCCACAGCACTGGCCCCAGTTACTAGTATTTTACTGACTTCTCTGAGCACAAATTCATCAGTGTCTTCACTGGACATAGACCTAAACATGGTGTTGAAACTGATATGAATTGATACACTTTACTGGTAACCATGTACACTGACGATGTACATTTGGACAGAAATACTAACAGCTTTTTTGGTGAGTTACATGTTATAAGCCCATTTTACAGATGAAGGTACTAGGATGCAAGAACCTGTTCTATGTCATAAAACTAACTAAATGGTAGAATTTGATCTATAATTGACCAATTTTCAAATCTGAGTTCTTACAAATACAAACAATAAAGAAATTACCTAGACTATATTATCAAAGAATGGTACAGATAATAAAGATGGTAATATTGACTATGTAGTTATGTTAAAAAATGTTTTAAAAGGCTCACAAGGTGTATATTATGAACAAAAATTGTGCATGAATTTTAAAATTGTTTTGCAATAAAATAAACATCTTTTCCACAAACTTTTGATAAACCTTGGTACTACCATGACATGTAATTTTGCTGAAAAAGAATTCCAGACACATTCCAGAGCAGTGTTTTTCAAACTGAGTTGAAATCCATTAAAAAGCTGTAAAAATAAGTTCTGTGTGGTAACAGAGCTTTTAGTGTAGAGTAAAAAATAAAACAGCTTTGTACACAGTAAAAGCAGGTAAGTAGTCCCTTGGTATCCTTGTTCCAAGATCTACTAGAGAGCATGGTGGGTTGTGGGGAGCGTTGTAGTTCAGCACGTTTAGCTGCCACCTGCAATGCCAACATCCCATGTGTGCTGTGGTCTGAGTCCTGGCATCTCCACTTCTGATCCAGCTTCTTATAAATGCACCTGGGTGCTGGGTTCTAGTCCCGGTTACTCCTCTTCCAGTCCAGCTCTCTGCTGTGGCCCAGGAAGGCAGTGGAGGATGGCCCAAGTGCTTGGGCCCTACACCCACATGGGAGACCAGGAAGAAGCACCTGGTTCCTGGCTTCGGATCGGCACAGCGCCAGCCGTAGCAGCCATTTGGGGGGTGAACCAACGGAAGGAAGACCTTTCTTTCTCTCTCTCTCACTGTCTATAACTCTACCTGTCAAATAAATAAATTAAAAATAAATTTAAAAAATTTAAAAAAATGCACCTGGGAAAGCACCAGAAGATGGCCTGAGGGTTTAGGCTCCTGCCACCCACATGGAGGACCCAGATGGAATTCCAGGCTCCTGGCTTTGGCTTCACCCAGCCCCAGCTGTTGGGAAATGAACTAGTGGCTGGAAGATCTGTCTCTCCTGTTAACTCTGCTTTTCAAACAAATAAATCTTAAAAACAAAAACAAAACAAATAAAAACTTCTGTGGGTAGCCAAATCTGTAGATGCTCAAGTCCCTTATATTCAATGTCACGGTTTTTGCATAACTCTACACACATTCTCCTATGTACTTTAACTACACCGCACACAGTTGAGACTTAGAATGAACAATGCCCAAATGACAAGCACTAAGACAGAGGATCTGTGAAATGGTAAACCGTCTTTACAATTTCATATTTAAATGGATTCCACATACTGCTTGGAGTAGCACCAGTCTTATTTTTGGAAACTTGCTGATTTTTTTTCCTGAATATCTATAATCTACCACTGGTAATCTACTACCACTGGATGAGTCCTTGGGTAAGAAGGGCTGATTGTATTGTTTTATAAAATTCTCAGTGTAAATTATAATTCTTACTGTATGGACTGTAGTAAAAAAATATGAAAGCCACTGAGTCAGGAGAAAAATGTTTTAGTATAGAAATGAGGAACATAAGGTTCAAACTGACTGCCAGTCACCTTTCAATAACGTGCAAATTCCCTTTTAATCTTTTACATATTTTCTTAGGCTCAATCTAATAAGCAGCATTTGTCACACCTGGAAAAAAAACCATTTTTTTCCTCAAGTTTTACCATTATACTGTGTTTTACTCACGATGTATTACCCAAGACCACAGTGGACAATTCCAGGCTCTAATTATTTCTGACCAACACTGAAGTTCAGCTAACAAACCACAACCAAGGGGGAAAAATTATCAGCTTTATATATCAAGTCTGAAAATCCTAAAATTTAACATAATCCCAACTAAATCTACTAGTGAAAAACAAGTGACTTTGTAATATTCTGGAGAGTCCCAAAGAACTGATTTCCAATTTGGGCCTGGCCACATGAATGACTCTGGGCAAGTGATGTTATACATGCTACCTCTAGCATGTCACCCAGCACAGGGCATGTGTACAACGAACATGACTCACTGCAGCATCCCCTCACCATCCCAGCCAGAGGAAACTATGAAATCCCCCTGTACAGAGTAACAGCAGCCCCCAAAATGTACAAGAACCTCTTAGAAGGCCTAAGTACACTAGGAAAAGCTAATACTTGCCAGTAGTTTTGAGTTTGGCTTTTTACCTCATCATTAGCTGAATGACTATAAGAAAGTCTAAACACGATGGCCATCCTGCTGCACAATATATAGAAGACCAAGATAAAAAGTACTCAAAATTATGAAAAAGCATCTAGTCTGGTCTCTTATACTAGAAAAGAATTTCAAGAGAAATTAGGGAATAAGGACATTTGGCCTGACACCTGTGGACTGGGTTTGGGGATTAGTCAAAGTGACACACTACCCTGCTTTTTATTCACAGTAGCATAAATCCTGACAGATGTCTCAGTTTGCTTTGTGTTGCTATATCAGACCACCACAGACTAGCAATTAACAAGGAAAATAGATCTCACTGTTCTGGAGGCTGGGAAGTCCAATTTTAAGGTGTTGAATCTTGTGACAGCCTTTGTGTGGCGCCATCCCATGGTAGAAGGAGGCCAAAAGCTTTTCTGACAGCCCAACTCTCTTGATGAC